AAAATTACATGCATTTTTTTCAGTGTAGTTTATCTTCGAAAAGAAAATGCAGCGAGACAGATTCTAAATATTATATTTGGAACAGGAAACATAAATAACAATACTATTTTCTCCAAGTATTTTCGAAAAACAACATTAATTTATTTACACAATATATAAATAAACAATATATCATTTAAAAAATATTATCCATAAATATATATATATTATATAATATAAAATATATATAATGTATGTACATAAATGCTACATAGTCGGTACAAGACTCATTTAAATTTGTCATATTCGCTTCAGTCAGTATAGACAAACATGTAAATAAGTTCTGAAATACAAAAGTTATTCTCTAAAACTTTTAGAATTAATTTGCCTTCGAAGAGTGAAATATCACTCTTAAAGATTGAAAATTGAGTCAGTCTTTTACAAAACTAGCTCAATTTTCATTCTTTAGAGTAAGATTCCACTCCAAAGAATGTGTAGAAGGTAATTTTACAAGATTTCGAAAGGTCAGCATGATATCATAGATTGACATAGATCGATTAAATCAGATTTACTATATAGAAATACAGAAATAATAACGATTGAGTATTATTATATAACGTTCTTCAATTTTTTATTAAATTTCATTAAAACGATATGCTTACATGAATAATTATATCTATTGACACATGATAATGAAACGTATAGCCATCGTGAAATTTGGTTTGTTTTAACAACTTTAGCTGATAGCCTTCAAAGATAAATATATATGCGCGCAACATACATATATACATGTATGTTTAATACGTATTTTTTCCTTAAACATATATAATATGCTATATACAGGAATGCACAACACGTTAACCACATGTATCGTATAGGTATATGTATATATAAGTTGTACTTCATGAATTTTCACTTTATCTTAAAAATTCTATTCTTATTTTTAAAATGCATATGCTCTATGAGTAACAAATATGGAGCAGGAGCACGACCAATATATTTTTATAAAAAAGATACAGAGATTTTTATAGAATATCTGTTTATATTTACACGTTATATATCCCATTATAAATTAATCAATATATGTAATTGTTACTGATATATAGAATATTGATATACATTAGGATTGTTTACTGATATACAGAATATTGATGTACATAGAATTAACGTGTGTAAATGTTTATGATATTTGGTGACTTTTAAAGTCATTTTTTTGATAGCGCGGCGATGATGTAATGTCACATAGAATCAATTTACACATTTTGACTTTTTAAATTCTCTTCCAAAACTTTGCTGTTCTAATGTGTTACGCAATGCATCTGAATGTAATCAAATTAAAATTCTTTTTAGATATCGTAACAGATAATAACATTGATTAACAACTTTATGACATGTACGATATATGAATTATACTACATGATTTATACCAGAATTGTCTAAGATCGGTGTTTTTTGGCTTGAAATTGAAATGTGTCGGTATTCACGCCCATTACTGTTCCTACTCCTCACTTTTATTGCTATTTTGTCGTAGCGCGCAATACTTGATTTCATGGACGACATTAGTCCGAAATCGTTAAAAGTTTTTGATCTGTGTCTTTCACTATGTTTAAAAGTATTCTGTTATTATAAGATATTATAAGAACTATTTTATTATTCATAGTATATTTAACTATAAAAATATGAATAAAAGAATATTTTTAAACATAATGAAAGACATAGGTTAAAAATTTTTAATGATTTCAAACTAGTGTCGTCCCTGAAACGAAACGTCGCACGCTACGACAAAACAGTTATGAAGTAAGAAATAAGAACGGTAATAGGTATAAATATCGACACATTTCGATTTCAAGCCAAAAAACACCGACCTTGGACAGCTCTGATTTATACATAAAAAATAGAACACATGATACATTTGATGTAGAAAGTTTTCAATGAAATAACATTTTATGATTCCATATTTATGAATTTACAAATTACATGTACACGTAAGGGAAAGTTTATATATTATACATACCATTCTACTACATTTTTCAAGAAACGACACGTGTACGGATTTATTTGTGCAAAAAGGACGCACAAAGTATATATCAAACACGTGTATTTGTACTGACGCCAACCATTGAAAGGTATTATAACTGCAAAAGCTTCCATGATAAAGCTTTCGCTCGAAGGCAATTGAATAACAATAAAAAATGCATTATTTAAAAAAAAATAAAATTTCATGTTTATGTATTATTAATTTGAATAAGCATTTATAATACTTTTTATAGTTTTTATCGATGACAATCCCTACCTATTCGAATATCGTTAAACTTATATCTTTATTTGAGTACCTGTCTCTGCTTCAGTTTTTTCATAAATGTATATATTATAAATGTACCATATATATGTATACAAGGTGGGGCATTTTAATTGCCCCAAGCGAATATCTCAGAAACTAAAAAAGATATAAGAAAAAGTTTTATATGAAAATTGTAGGTTTTCTTAGGGGAAAGAAGGTGGATATAACGGGTTTTGGATAGGGGACACTACCAAAGTCAGTTCAGGGTCAACATGAATTTTTTAAATGGAAACCTCAATTTTTTATTACATATTCTTGTAGCACTTCTCGAGAGCTTTCCAAAACGCTATAATAAAATATTTTTTCATGAAGTACTTTTCGAGTTATAAGTCGAGCTGTTGAATGTTTCGCCGGCAATAACATTACCCAAGGTGTCCGACCGACGGCTAAAACCTTTTGAATGTTGTTCAGGATCACGACCTGGATAACATTTGTCAAGATCAAGATCATTGGAGATTGTTCCTCTAATTTTCATTTTTGCACTAAAATTTCTACGTAAAAATGAAAATAAGAAGTACAATTTCCAATGGCCTTGATCTTGTTATCCAAGACATGATCCTGAACAACATTAAAGATGTTTTAGCCGTCGGTCAGACACCTTGGGTAATGCTAATGCCAGCGGTACTGTACCATGCAAACCTTATAACTCGAAAAGTGCTTCATGAAAAAATATTTTATTATAGCGTTTTGGAAAGCTCTCGAGGTGTGCTACAAGAATATGCAATAAAAAATTGGGGGTTTCATTTAAAAAATTCATGTTGACCCTGACTTGACCTTGGTAGTGCCCTCTATTCAAAATCCGTTATTTCCACCTTCTTTCCCCCAAGAAAACTACAACTTTCATATAAAACTTTTTCTTGTATTCGTCTGGGGCGATTAAAATGCCCCACCCTGTATATGTATATATTATATATATGTTTTAACACTTTTCATTTCTCAGTTTCCTTTTATACACATAGTAAAAAATAACAAAACTGCATTTTATAAACGATTGTCATATAAATTTAGACGTTTTAGTAAGAAGTTTATGAAAATACTTATTAGAAACGGATTATTGATTAACATTTCTGTATTGATATCAAGTACGCGATTATTTGGTATAAATAAATGGACTTTGTTACGTATAAAATGAATAATTTCATGTTTTATGCGTAATGATCATGTACATGTATTACGTGTAAAACTAGAAGATTTCTAGGGTAACGCTACTCTTTTTATTAGTACTATGTCGAGGTACAAATCCGTAAAAGAGAATTCACGAAAAACAAATTTATTCGAGATTTTAAGTGGAATTGCATCCCAAAAGAATATTCTCTTCCATGTGTTACGGATGAAATACCGAAAAATTTTTTCCCGGTGATTTCCCCAGGCGAGCTGGTCAATCGATTTCTGTCCTAATTGTGCAAAAAGAAAATCAACATGAAAAGGACGTGGCAACTCGAGTTCTTTTGCGCGTTTGAGTTACATACCAATAACACATATGTAACTATGTTTGATGGTTTTCTATCAAGAAAAAAATATGAGCGTTCCTGGGAGCGTATTTAATAATTTCTTTTTATTGTTTCTCCAAGCTTTAATTAAGCTTTAATTATTCTTATAGTAAATAATTAGTTTAATGTGGTAAATTTCAACATCGTGCAGATTTTTTTCTATAAAATGTTAGAAAAAAATATCAAAGTTCTTCCCAATTTGCTACAATAATTGATTTTTATAATAGCTTTTGAAAAGTATCGACTCTTTCAAAACTTTTACTTTATAATTATGTGAAAAAAATTTTAGATTCTGTTAATTATTATATTTTGTCATTACTGAAATCTTATTTCGTCATTTTAAATAAGACTAAATAGAAAACTTTTATAATATGATACTCTTTTATTTACTTTAATATCACATAAAAACTTTAAATTATAATTAATAACATTATTATGTTAAAAAATGACAAAATTAATTCAGTAGAAAAAATGTACTAATGCTCGAAAATTCGTACATTTTCTCTGTCTACATTGTAAAAGTAAAGTATCCTACATTTCTTTTAATTCTTGTAAAAATAAAAAATTTTAATATTAGATTTTGCGATCATCTCTTTAAATTAAGTAATTTGAGAATAATTGCCACATTCGTTGATTACCCCAGTGATAATTCTCTTACATTAATAATTCATACCAACAGAACTGATTCTATGAATATATGAATATTTCATGCATTCTCTCTCTCAAAGTAAAAAGCACACAATGTGAAAACAGAACATTGGTCATTACTGATACGACAATCAGAAATTGCAAATACAGTTAAAGCAAAAATCCAAGAATGAGACTCAACTTCGTTTGATGTTCTTCACATATCGCAACGTGCTATTTAATTTCAAAAAAGATTTAAAAAATCGAAATTGAAATTTCGATACATAATTATGAATATTTTGAAGCGATTTTGCTACTTTTTTATATCTTCGAACTTGCACCAAAATAAATATAGAAACAGATTTTTAACAGCTGAATATGTGATTCACGTATAATAACTGTGAATCTACATTATCATACAATTGCACACAGAATTCAAGAATCTTATCTATGTCAGTCAAATATTTATATCATTTTGAGTTTTACAGCAACATTTTTCTTATTTCCTGACAAATCTTTTGTTAAATCTGTCATCTCGTCGTCGACATCGAGCTTAAAGTCACAGATGCGTATCGCGTCTGGTGAAATGGTGCGCCCTTTCAAGGCGATTCAGGCAAACAGGATCATCTTAGATTTATCCTTGGATTTACGCCCGCAAAAGCCTCGAGGGTTTGGACTAAAACCTCAGTTGAAACCAAACACGGATAAAAGAGAATCATCGGTCAAAGAGCGTTGATGTTTCACGGGCTTACCGATTCCCTAATAATCATTATTAACCAACTATTTAAAATTTGATCTCTATCGGATCTTCAATGGAATGTAAACTATATGTACCTTTGTGGACTGCAGTGATACCGAGTCATACTCTTTAGAATCCTACGCAGTATCTGCTCCAGACACCGACGGAACGTAATGCCGCACATTGCATACAGAAGGAAATTGATGCTGAAGTTTGTATAATAAAGCAGCATGAAGAACTGCTGAAGACACCAGAGTGTCTCCGGTGTATCCTTCTTTGCTAGCGCAAAGAAGAACACGCATAGACGAATTACGTAGCTGAAACAGAAAATTCGAATTGTAATGCAAATTTGATTTCATCAAAAAATATTGACTGTTTCATTTTCACCGTAAACTGCAATTTATATCCTTTGAAAAAATTCATAGAATTTTATTGCTCGTTAAATGAATAATATTGAGATAAAATTTATTTTCTCTTCATTTATTACATGAGAGAAAAATTTAAATTCTATTAAAAAGCAAGTATTCACACACGTGTAGAATATCTCCAAAATTTTTTTCTTGCACCATTACGTATCATTGATATAGTAATTATTAGATTATAAATAATATAATAAAATTCTGCTATAAATTACATACATTTGTTTAAACATATTAAAAGCCCAAATGTATTTCTATCATCAAATGGAAACTACATTACTCGAGCTTAAATTACTTGATTAATGCAACAATTTACGTATGATGTTTCGATGATATAATTTGAAAACATTTTCCCGTAGGTAACAATTAAATCTTTTGCAACATTTATATTAAAGAAACAATGTGTACATCATATAATTTAATCTGATTATAAATATTCAGTTATTTATACGCATTTTATAAACTATAAAAGAAGATATTGTATATAGTAAATGTCATAAACAAGTCATGGGAATTTTGAACGCACTGTAAACAAATATAAACGGAAAAAAACATGATAAATAGAAATAATTAATGAACATGCTCACCTCGGTAAATTAAGTAATATGAAGACCGTACTAATAAGCACGAGCATTTTAGTGATGCTCTCTTGATTAAATCTAGTCGATCCGAGATTCCGACAAGATGACCTAACGTCTGCGAAGTGAAAAACAGATCTTATGTAGCTTTTGCATCTATTCAGAATCACATACAAATAAGAAGCTTATTTTATAACTGTAGAAACGTATCTTTTTACCTTTGTTAAATACAAAATTTCTTGTTTTTTATCATTGTAATATTTGAAATTTTTATTAAGTCATTTTGTAATTTTAATAATGCCAGACCATCTTGTAACACTTATAAATATTATGCAAAATACGATGTTTACGCCATTAAGAGAAAATTATTTTATAAAAGAATCTTGATATTTTTACAAAGAAAATATTGACAACGATCGTAATTTCTTATCACGAGAGAATACAATTCTTATCTTACAAGTCATACAAGTCTATGTGGGAGATTTCTAAGAGGCTTGAGTCTCACGTCGCAATAGACCAACTTACGTATACACGGAGCTTCTATTTCGGTCATCTGACAGGCGTTCCGCGGTGTCGACGGCGGAGCAGATGCAGGTTGATGCCGGGAATGGTTCTTAGACGAATGAAACGATGATTGCTGGGAGGGTGGTCTTCGAGTCCCATTCGTGCCCACGAGCGAAACCAGGTTCATATTTCCACCGCCACCGTTATTGCTGCTATTGGCACTCTGAAAATAGTTTTGTAAAGTCTTCATCTTTGATATCGACAAAACTTGTCAATCCCCTTATTTGCAGCTGACCCATTCACATGTAAACGTTGCCCCATTCGAGGAAATTACTTTGGAATAAGGACTTTTGCTGAATAGCAAAAGCAACGATACATGTAAAAAACTATATTACCGCAATCTAAACGTAACAAAATAGCACATCTGTGAAATACTCTATTTTATTCATTAATTTTCAATGCAATAAATTTTCTTTTATATATATATATATAACTTTTCGTATACAAATATTATTTATATTATTCATTGCTATTTGTAATAGTGTAAAAATATAATTTAAATTTAATTTAGATAAAATATAATTTATTCAAGAAGAAACATTAGAACTTGCATTATACATTTTTCAATTTGTAGAGGTTTATGAAGAGTTATGAGATGTTTGCAATTTAACTCTTGCAGTGGCGAGTCACTCGAAGCGTATACAAGCTCAACTTTCACTTTTTGTTATACTTATATTTCACTCGTTTTAAGTGATATTTCATTTTCCGAGTTTTAGAGATAATATAAATTATCAGAGACATTGATAAACAACATTATCTTTCTAAGATAACGTTAATTGCTAATCATCTCTTTAAATATGTCAATAAATTATATAACATAATAAATATGTTTGCCCCGCCCCCATTATATCATTTTCCTTAATGTATTTTGCTTATATGAACAATATTAATACTAACATTTAAATATAATATCATCTGTTTCAACCATTCTTAAAAATAATAACATAATTTCGATAAAAAGTTAGATATAAGAACAATGCACAAGTGTCATTTTATTTTTTTTAAATTTACTAACATATTCTATAGATAAAAGTATGAGACATGTGTTTCGCAAAAAAATATGAGATTTTTTTGTGAAGTTATTGACGTTTGTAAGTTACAGAAATTCATAAAAAAACGTTGCTCATGTGAACATTCAAATTATTATATCGTCGAAATTATTAATTGTACAAAAAAAATGCAAAATTTTCCGAGATTAAAAGATCTTAAATTGTTTTATGGATGGATTATTTTTAATTTATCATTTTCATATAAATAAATCATTTTCCATTTGTTTACAATTTTTATCAACATTTTTCATCATCAACTCATCAATTTAAAAATTTTGTAAAAATATGATATTCCCATTTTAATTATGAAATATAATTAAATATTAAACTATCAGCCACTGTTTTCTTGGAAATGACACATAATAGAATTGTTTTTGGTAGTACAAAATAGTACAAATTGTAAGTATATACTAATAAAGTCATTTTAAGCAAAAAACATGTAAAATATTAATTTACTTTCAATGGTATTGATACTTTCAATCTTATTAATTTTTGATATTATTTTTCTTTTATTTTGAATTGATTCTGCTAACTTAATATTAAGTTAGAAGCGCCACGATTTTTTTCGAAATGGCACACGGTACAAAATTATCATTAATGGTACAATTTAGTACGAAATGAGTACTAAAAATTCCGATAGATCCGATTTGATTTTGCTGATATGGTCCTGCTAGTTTTATAGAGCTGTTGTATACAGACGCGAGTTCCACAAGATGCGTGATAGTAACTGAAATAAACATGAACGAGAAATATGCAAAGTGTAGCGTTATGCACCGATGTATAACGGTTAAACTATATGCACATGCAATTTTTACATAAAGAGCGAATAGTGTGCTTTTTAAAACGCTTCATAAACATGCATTCTTTTGCAAGTTACATAGTAAAGAAAAGAGAGACTTTTTATATTTTTTTCACGACACGTTTATGCAATTAATTTTTAATAAACCGCTGATAATTTTTATTTTAATATATTTATTATTTATTATAATATAAAATCTTATCGTCATATCAAAAAACACAAAACAAAATATCTTTTAATATAAAATTGTATTTAAAAAACTTCTTGTACACTAATTGTAATAAAATCGTTTTAGATAAACTCTTATGAAATATAAAATATTTATGAAAAGTTTATAAAAAGACAAATGTAATATATGATACGATTATGTAGTCTCTATCTGCAATTAATCAGTGCAGTATATTCAGACAAAAATATTTCTAATTTACATTTAAATTAAAATAACAAATAAATGATTAATTTGGACAGTTTCATTTATATTTTTAAATACTTTTCGTTTAAATACTTTTAATAAAGTGACAATAATGATAAAGTTAAATTTTATTGAGTAACTTTAATTAACATCAAATGACAGATAAAATTTTTATATTTATAAGAAAACATATATTTAGCACAATTGTGCTCATAAGAAGAAAAGCCATTTATTCGGTTAATACGTGCGAAAAAATCCAATAATTTATTGATACTCCGTATTCGTAGAAAGTAACCGGATTATTTACGGAAATCCTTAGGGTGCCAATCATAGTAACACATCACATATAAGTACTACTCATTTTTCAAATCACCATTTTCATCATGATCACATTTCACTAATATGTAGAATGTTGTATCCTTTTTTTTTTTAATTGCGAACATCTTTCCACTTTGATAAATTTTCTTGTTCAGACTTTATTTCTCAGAAACATCGATAATATAGAAACTATGTTTGTGTGTGTTCATAGATTTGAATAAAAGTTCCATACCAGCAAATACATAAAAGTTAAAATTTGATTACATAGTGCCGATGTACCATCAAAATGTTCGTTGCAGAAAATCATGTCAATATTAGCAGAATTTTAACTGTGTTCTAGTTTTACGATATCCTCTAAAAATCAAAAATCATTTCGATATATAGTCAAAATAATTCTATTCAGTTAATCATTTTATTAATCTTTTGATCCCTATCGATCTATTTCTTTTAATAAATATATAGTTAATATTTAAACATATCAAATAATATGCGTTTGATTGATAATAAAAAATTGCATTATTTTAATCAAAATTTTTTCTAAAAGATTACGCAGCAAATCTATAAAAGTATTCTATGCTTTTTATTATCTCAACGCAAGAAATTGGCTGCCTTCCATTTAGTAATATTCTATATTATAATAAAGACAGAACGATACTTGTGTTGACTTATGTTCCTAAATAGAAGGCACCCAGTACCTCCTATTCAATTATACCACGATATTACACGTCTTATACATCAATAAAGAACCCATACATCATCGGTTAACCTTCAACTCACTTAACTCCAACAATTCGCTTAATAAAGAGCAATTTTACACATCAATAAAAATAAGTTCACGGTAAATATAATCAATTGATGTATAGTATTATTGTTATTAAAATTTTATTTAGAAAAACATTCACACTAAAGGCACATATATTTTTAATTAAAATTCAATTTATTAAATTATAATTTACATCCTTTTTAAAATTATTTATTTATTTTAGTGGATTAAAATGATAGAAAAAAAGAAGATAAACGTTGATATGATAAAAAAAAAGTTATTAAAACCGCTATAGCTGAATATGCTCTGATAAAATAAAAAATATTTACAGTTAAGTGTTGTAACTTGTGCAGCTTTTTGGGCAGTAGTATAAACTTATAAAGTACCCTCAAAGTTATTGCATTTTCTTGGGAAAAAAAATAAAAAAAAAGATAATAAAAATAAAAGGAAGACTAATAAAGTAGTAAAATAATTATAAAATAAATAGTATTTTTCAATAAAATTATTCTTTAATTTATATTCCATTAGATATAGATCCGTTTATATCAATTTGTGAAGATGTTTTATGGTGAAATAATCTCCCATATCTAATCTATAATCTCCTATTGTGTTTTATTATTCATATATCGAATCGGTATACACAATAAATATTATTTAATAAGTTATTAAAACAAAATATTGTATATATGTTTTCTTAAAAAGTATTAAGTTTAAAAGTCATATATCTGAGATAAATGTATTTAAAATACATACAGAAATATTATTCCAACTTCTAACTTTGAACATAATTGGCACATCTCTTACTTAGTTAACTTATTAAAAAACATTAACCAATGGAATTATTAAAATAAAATATCAATCGACTTTTAACCCGATTTATTAAAAAAAGCGACACTGTTATGTATTGATATGAACATGTTTATGAAGTACGACGAAGTGCACTATCATCTCAAGGATAGATAAATTGAACATCATATTTGCGCATTTACAAGAGTATTAATCTTATCGTGAGTACAGAAGTCAGTAGTAGAATTTTGCTCATGGTGCGTGTATCACATCGCCAGTTAATAAACTGAGCTAACCGTTTCTATTTCCAGTTAGACAATATATCTAAAAACAATTGACAAAACTATTATTATAATGTAATTAGTAATTTTGTGCTCCTTCTTGCTCTGTGACATTGACACTAGTTTAACAGTCACGTGTAAACATCGTTTCATCAATCTGAAATAAAAACTCTCTGTTGACAACAATCAGAAAACCTAATAATAAGAAACATTTTCTTCTTGTACAACTAATTTGGAAATCTTTATCACGATGGAGTCTTCTACTTTGCTTCTGACTATTTTAACAGCGATTATCTGTTTATATTATTTTGTTCTAAGTAAGTTTAAATCATCTTACTTCGAGCAACTGAATATTCCTCATCTGCGACCGATTCCATTGTTGGGTAACATGGCGCCTTACGCTTTTCGACGTATATCTCATATGGAGCTTCTACAAAAAATATATAATTTCTTCCCGGACGCAAAGTTCTTCGGCCTCTACGATTTTTTAACACCGATCTTCGTTATTCGTGATCCAGATTTGATTTCCACGATCGCTATAAAACAGTTTGATAACTTCTGCGACCATCAAGGCTTCGTTAACGAAACTCTTGATCCGATAGCCGCCAGAAATCTGTTTAACATGAAAGGAGATCACTGGCGCGAAATGCGAAAACTTCTTAGTCCCAGTTTCACATCCAGCAAGATGAAGATGATGTTCGAACTTATGTGCCAATCCGCCGAGAACTTAACCAATTTTGTGATAACGCAGTCCG